CTTACTACCAATATTGGGAAAGAGATATGAAAGTAATGAAAGAGCTCAATGGAGAAGCATACAAACACACGATGATCACCCCTCCAAGGTTTTCGAGCAGATCATACTTCAAGACTGATAACAAATGTAATGTTGTTCTCAATAATATGTTAGAATCATTTAATAGTGTCATCCTCGAGTCTATGGCCAAGCCATTGATAACCATGATGGGAGAAATTAGGATATACATGATGGAAAGATGGGCTACAAACAGAATAAGGTTTCAGAAATTGGCAGATGTTGAAGTGTTGCCTAACATTATGAAGAAGGTTGAGAAAACAAGTTCATACACAAACATGTGGCTTGTCAGGTAAACTGCTTTAAACAATTTTCTTTAAACAATTTTTGTGATATGATGTATGATTTTTGAATGTGTATTTATGTGTTAGGATGTCTGATGAGCATATATTTGAAGTGAGACATCTGGAAAACTCAGTTGAAAAATTCACAGTCAACTTGAAGGAAAAGAACTGTTCATGCAGAAGATGGGAGCTAACATGCATGCCTTATGTTCATTCATTTGCATCAATCAAAAGTAGAAACCACAAGATTAATGACTACATTCCTGATTACTACATGAAATCAAGATATTTGTAAGTGTACAAACCTATAATATATCATGTTAATGGCTTAAACCTATGGATGAGAAGAGAGAATCATGATGTTCTGCCCTCCAAATTTAGGAAAATGCTTAGAAAGCCAAAAAAGGAGGAATTTAGAGCAAGGTGAGATAGATGGTTCTGATAAAAAGATGAGAAGGTCAAGATTCATTATAAAGTGTAGCATGTGTAATAAAGCAAGACGTAACAAGCTTACTTGCAAGTTACCATCTACTAGTCAACCAACCCAGACATCTCAAGCATCTCAGTCAGCTCAAGCATCCTAGCCAACTCAAGCATCCCAGCCAGCTCCTACACAAGCTTCCCAGCCATCTACTTCTCAATCATCCTAACATGTGGCTTCTCAATCATCCAAGAAAGTGACTCCCAAATTCAAAAAGTTATCAGTTAGAAGGTCAAATGCACCTTTTGTCCCACCTGGTCCAATAACTAGGTTGAATGCAGCAAAAAATGATATAGGCCAAACAGCAAGAAGGACAACACCTACTAAGAGAGCCACACCAAAATGGAAACCTTAGTTTAATGCCTTTAATGTGATAGTTCTATTAAGTTATGTTAAGTTTAGTTAAGTAATGTTAAGTTTAATTAAACTATGTCAAAGTATTTTGAACCTGTACTGGTGTTTTTGACCTGTAATGTATCAGGTATTTTGGACCTATAATATCAGGTGGTGTTTTGGACCTGTAATGTATCTGGTATTTTGGACCTGTAATATCGATTTTTTTGGACCTGTAATGCATGAATATTAGTGGTATCAACCACCTTATAATTCAATATTTATTGTTGACTTTGTTCAATTGATTTTCTACATGTTATGGTATGACTGTGAATGAAAACACAATACAGAAGTGTTACAACTGTTACATACTAATTCAAAATGATACTTTGTTCTATTTGGAAACACCAAAATTCATTATAAAATGTTACAACTTAAACATACAAATTCAAAATGATACAGAAATTACAGCATCATCCAAATGACCACAATTAACACAATACAAAACATTATTTTCCATTTTTTCCCGAATTCATCATCTTCTTCATTTCAATTTGTAACTCCTTTATCTTTTGTTTCAGTCCATCCTTTCTTTCCTTTAAAGACAATATCTCAAATTTTGTTGCATTAAGGTCATTTTGAAGCTTCTCCAACCTACTATTTTGCTTATTTATAAACTGTTATTTCTCATCCACCAAATCATCATAGAACCATTGAAAGTATCCACATCTAGTTTCAGATGAACTCCGTGTTATTCAAAATTCAGATATATTAGAACAAAAAAACATGAATAACCAATTTAATTTCTTTCTTACCTTATGATGACGATAGCCCCATAATTGCTTCCCAAAATTCGTGAGAGTTGAAGCCATTCGAAGAACAACTGTGTCTCCACAGCCACATGTGGGTTTCCATCGCAAATTGCCATCTAAACAACCACCGCTCTTGACATTCGAATCGTATGAACACTAACATGACTACACTGATGAAGTTTGCTTCATTTTCCTCAAGCAATTTCAGAATTGAAAGGTGAAGAAAATTATTGAACCCTAGAATTTGGGTGAATTTGGATAGAAGAGAATGATATGGACGATGGAATAACTAAGATTGAAGAAGATGTTTATAACATTCCACATCACCTGCCACATATACAAAATAAACGTTCGTTTGTGCCTTTTGGACGAAAAAGACTTTTGTGATCCCTTTTGAACAATTACAGGACCGCTTCTAAACTTTTTAAAGATAAGAGATCAGAATGGACCCCGAGATAATGTTAAAGGACTAAAAATAATATTTTTCCTAAAAAATATTCCAGAAATTCTAATAAGTAATCAAACACTTTGTAAAAAAATTTCAAAGAATATAATTACCATTACTTTATTCATGAGAAACTTATTCCCGAGAATAAAAATTCCAAGAAATATAATCACCATTACTTTATTTCTGGAAAAATTATTCTAGAGAATAAAATTAATATCAATTTCATAATTAGTCATTTTTTGTAATTTAGTTGATGACATATAAATAATTAATTTATTTGGATAATTCTATGTCATCATAAAACATGTCATGTTATTTTTGAAACATGTCACTTCATCAATTTATAGTCTAAAGATTTAAATAATGATCAATATTGAAAATTTTAAAATAAAGAGATAAATGATGTGAGCGGTTGAAAAATAAAAGAAATAAAACGGTAATTAAATAAAAGAAAATGTACAAAATATTACTTATTGCATCACAAATCAAAATAGAATTAGAAAATAAATAAACAGAATTAAAAATATTAAATAGTATAATAGAAAAATATTTATATAATAGGAGTAGAAGAAATTTTATTTATATAGTAAAAAATAGAGAGAAGATATACAATATGGAGTGAAATAAACTTATTAGATATGAGACAGTCCAAAAGGATAAAAACCAAAACGGTTACATTAATATTGTTCTCTACTCTAGCATTTTTCATTATTGAGGTATACTTCTTGACTTCCGATGTTTAATTCTCAATTTGTTGACATATTGCCACTAGGTATGAAATCTATAATCTACTATTGTTCCTAGTCATTGATAATCTTCTTCAAGCCACAACAAATCTTGTTAGAATCAGGACGTACCATGAAAATGCTCTATCTAGCTTGTCTTAGAACCATGCTCTCCCATTTGGATTACAAACCATACATAACATTCCTTTAAGAAAAATAACTTCTTATGGAGCATTATCTGATTTCAACAATTCAACATTAACTTTCAAACATCTTTAAAATTCTACTTGAGTTTCACCAACACAGTCACATTAGTAGAATTAGTTTGAATACACAATCACTTGCCTCAACCTTGTAAAAACATAACACAGACAAAATAATTGAGGTTTTGAAAAGAAATATTGACTTTGAGATACATCAAGTCACTCTAAGTCGAAGATTATTCGTTAAATCATGGTAGAAAATTTCTGAACTTCAATTCTAACTCAGACACTAACAAGAACAACAAAGATTCATATATATGACACATTATAATTTCGAGACGAAACTCAAATAATTAAAAATTTAAATAGACAAACTTCAATTAAGTTTACCGAATCAATAACTCCTTCCCATTTTTTTATTTCAAAATTATTATTTGATAAAGTTAAACGATTCAATATATATTGATGAACTTAAATCAAGTTTACCAATTTAAAAAAAAGTTGCGGTCAAACTATTTCAAGTTTTCAGAGAAAAATTAAATTTCAGGGTAAAATTTTCTCCAATAAATTCATGTAAAATAAAATATAACCAAAATAAATATATTTTATTATATATGAGAGCAAAATAAAAAGTTTATGAAATATGAGTGGGGGTATATTAGTAGAGGTGTTAGTAGATTTTTCTCCTTCTGGTTAGATAAAAGGCCCAAGGCCCAACAAGATAGATTACCAAGCCCTATTTGTAAACCCTAATTCCAATTCCACCGTATCTTCAACCGAACCACGAATTCCGCTGCGTGCTATAAAAACGGATCAGTGGAGCGTAGAGTTTCATTCGTCATCTCTGTATCTAGGGTTCGCCTCTCCCTCTCTTTCTCTCGCTTTTTAATTTTATCTTAGTTTCGATTGAATTTAGTGGTTTTTAATATGCTTGTTTTTCTTTTCATAAAATGTTGTTGATTTTCGATGAATCTGTTGTTTTTGTCATTGAATTGAATTTGAAATCCAGGCATATAGTCAGGTATTTACCGTGATAATAATCGGTAGAGGCCGTTACATGGCTGGGAAATTAATCTGAGAGGGTTTCTGTTAGATCAATTTGGGGTTTCCCTTTTTTTTCTGATGTTTCTCTTTCGTTAGGTGTTCATCGTTGCCCAATAATACTATATTATTATGTGAGCTACATCTGGACACTACATTTCAATTAATCGTATTTTTTCGTAATTTGTTCACATTTTTTTATTTTGGTTAGATGTTGGTTTTATGATTCAAAATTTCTATGTTCATTTATTCCATTTAGTCGTTTAATAATGAGTCTTGATCTTTGTTTCGACATGTTAATTCACCTGATGCTTCTATATGTTTATTTATTTGAAATTCTTTTTAAGGAGACAACTTTGCTATTTTCTGTTGGCTCTATTGTCTCAGAGAGTAATAACTATACTATCTTCTCGATGAAAAGGTTATTGAAAACTTAATTTAACTGAATTAAAAGAGTGTAAGTGGAAATTATTTTAAATATAATAATAATTTTGTATAGACTGCAATTGCCAAAAAAATTAATGAAAGGATGTTAATACAAGGCAATACAGGGCCAAAAATTAACCTCTGTTATTTTGAGTACGGTTATCATACGGTCATTTTGAGGATTAAACAATTATGATGCTTCAATAGCTTTAACACCAGAATTTATAATAAATTGTTGAGTGACTGGGAAAGATCTAAAAAGAATAAAAGTGTAAGTCATTTTTATTAGAGAATATGGTATTGTTAAAATATAGAAATTCAGAGTGGTGTTCATGTTTTTTGTTTTATTGAATGAATTTAGAAACTTAATTCCACAAGATAGTGCTCTAGTGTTCTGATGGTACTTGGCAATCAGTGTTTGTTTCCTGGACTTCCATAGCATAGTTCGAGTAAGAAACTTACAAACTGCAAGGCCTCCCACTACTGACCTAGAACCATCTTTAGACATTATATTTTTATAAATATTATAAAATTACTAATAAATTATAAAATTTATATAATGTATATCATATACTATATTAAAAATTGATATTATATAATGAGATTGATTCATTATAGTTGAAATAATCTAATATATCATAGAATTTATATAATGTATATCATATATTATATTAAAAGTTAATATTCTATAATGAGATTGATTCATTATACTTGAAATAATAAAAATACTCAGATTATAATAAGTTAATAAATATTATTAAAAGATATTTAACATTTAATAATAAATTTATGTAATAAATTATATTAATAAAAAGTATATATATATATATATATATATATATATATATATATGGTTTGGATTTATTTTGAAAAATTAATTTAAACACATTCAATAAATTTTGATTTTTTTGATCCGTTTTCAATTTTTTATTTGGATTGGTTAGATTTGAATGCCCCTAATAAAAACATACCCCTATTGTAGTGATGAAAAACTTAATCAAGTTGCCCTTATTGATGGAATTTAGAGATTAAAGCTTGGATATGAGTGACAATTTCCGGTGACTATTATGTCATCTACATAGACCAACATGAAAATAGTGTAGTGAGGAGTGATAAGTGTGAAAACTGAGGGGATCAAATATTTTGGTTTGGAAGCCATAAATGGCTTTGTTTAATTTGAACTCAAGTGTGGCATCAATATTTTGAAAACCAGGTGGTTATTGAATGTAGACTTCTTCTTCAAGTATGCATTATTCACATCATGCCACTTTCTAGAGATAGCTAATGTCAAAATTACTCTCCCTTTAATTGGTTTAACTACTGGGGAGAATGTTTCTTGAAAGTCAAAGCCTTGCATTTTGTGATATATTTTAGCTACAAGCCTAGCCTTGTACTTCAAGATTGAACCATCGTGATTTTGCTTAATTATGAGGAAGAGGATTTAAGAGTCCGTGTGTGATTGTTTAGCATAGCTGAATGATCAACTTTCATGGCATCAAGCCATTTAGGATCCTTTAGTGCCATTTTATATGATGTGGGCTTAGTGCCATTTTATATGATGTCGGCTCAAGTTCAGTCAAGAGTATCTTTGGCTTTTGTGACCATATTGTGAGTCTTAGAGGGGATGAATCCTTGGAAGTGGTGGGGAGCCATAATTAATGGGTGAAGAGGAAACAAATGTAGTAGTAGTTTGAGGTGAGGAATTCTCATAGTGAGAAGCAAGAGAAGAGGAGTCTGCATTGTTGTGGGCTACAGTGTTGTGAGAAGCAAAAGAATTAGAGGATGTTGTAGTATTGTGAGATGCATAAAATGAAAGGATGTTGCAGTATTGGTCAACACATCAGCAATCTGATCAGTGTTAGGAATGTGCAGCACATGAATTTGTTTGGCCAGAACCTTTTCCCTCACAAAAAATAGATCAATCTCCACATGCTTAGTTCTGGAATGCAAAACAGGATTATGAGCTAATAGGACAACTGACTGGTCATCACACAGTATGATGGGAGGCTTGGTTTGAATACAGAGTTCCTGCAACAGTGTCTGTATCCAAAGAATGTCAGTTGTAGCTTGAGCTAAACTTCTGTATTCAGATTCAGTGCTGGACCTAGCAACAACTGGTTGCTTCTTCGACCACCAGACAACTAAATTAGCTCCAAAGAAAATAGCAGCACCAGATTAACTTCTTCTGTCATCTGGATTTGAAGTCCAATCAGCATCACAATAGACATGAAGAGAGGGAACAATCTGAGGAGAAAGAGGAGTGAGAGATAAACCATGATTTAGGGTACCTTTCAAATATTTGAGAATCCTTTTGATAGCTTGCCAGTGAGAATCAAGAGGATGTGACATAAACTGACACACTTTGTTAACAACATAGGTCAAATCTGGTCTGGTGATGGTGGCATACTGCAAGGCACCAACCACAAATCTGTACAGAAAAGGATCAAAAAAGGCTGCAGACTCAATTTTGGTGAGTTTGCAGGTGGACTGCATGGGAGTGCTAACAGAGCAGGCTCTCAACATGTTAGTTTTCTGCAGCAAATCTCTGAGATACTTAGTTTGAGTGAGGAGCATAGAACTATTAGCTGACTGCTTGACCTCAATGTTCAGAAAATAGTCAAGATCCTCAAGGTGTTTGAGAGAGAAAGCAGAATTAAGCTTGTGAATTACCTCATTGAGAAGAGCAGTAGAACTGCCTGTGAGGATAATATCATCTACATAAACAAGTAGATAAAGAGAGTGCCCTTTTGAGAAGTCGGTGAAGAGAGAGGGGGTCACACTTGTTGGCTTTAAAGTTGAGCTTCAGAAGAGTTGATTGCAGTCTCTCAAACCACAGCCTTGGAGCCTGTTTCAGGCCATACAAAGCCTTGTTGAGTTTACACACCAGAGAGGAGTCAGAGTGAACAAACCCTGGAGGCTGTTCCATGTAAACTTCTTCAGCAAGAAGTCCATTAAGAAAGGTATTATTTACATCCAACTGCTGAATAGACCACCTGTGGGTAATAGCAATAGTGAGAATGACCCTGATAGTAACAGGCTTTACAACAGGTGAAAAGGTCTCAGTAAAATCCAGCCCATGCCTCTGATGAAAACCTTTGGCTACCAACCTGGCCTTGTATCTGTTGATGGTGCCATCAGGATTTTCCTTGAGCCTAAATACCCACTTGCAGCCAATAACATTCTTGTTAGGGGGTAAAGGCACAAAAGACCATGTGACATTTTTCTGTAAGCAGAACAAGCAGAAAGAAGAGTAGAGAAGAGAAGTGTTTTCATCTTGTAACAGAATTCTGTTATTCTGTTTTTCTGTTAGTTACAAAAGGCTCCTTGATGCTTTATATACAGCATCAAAGGTAACCTGCTATTACAGATTAGGGCACACTGAAACTTACAGCTGCCAGTCAAATACATAAAACAGAAATAGGGACTAAGCTACTTATGTATTCAATATGAAGCACATTCCAGCCACTCTGCAGACTGTTGATGTCCTTACTAAGCCACTCTCTTCTCTAAGGTTTTTAACCCTTAGAGATCTTTTCAAAGTAATGGATAAAATCTCTTTGACCGACCGAAGAGAGAGTTCTACAAGAGCAGTTTCAACATAGAAGACTCGTCAGGTTATGGGGAAGATATTAGAGAATATGATAATTTTAGAATATAAAAGTAGTTGAGCTGGCACTGAGTTTGTTATAACTCAGTGCACTTATGTTTGTCTATATATAGCAGCATTATCATCTCTTGTAACTAACAAATATTTGATTCAGAAAATTCAATAACAGAATTTCCCTTCTATTCTCTCTCCCTTTCAGTTCAAATATGAACACTATCTCAATTTCTAATAATAGTTTGAGCTGTTTAAAACAATTCAGCCATAATTCAAAAGTCTTGCAAGTTTGATGTTTGATTAAATTTTTATAACATTATGCTTCCATTTTTGGACTATTTGAGCTTCATTGTTTTACTCATAACAAAATAAACGTGCCTCCATTTTGTAGGGGTATGGACATCGAAGAATCTGTTAAGAACAGAATACCTTGGGATGGAACTCTCTCTTTAAATGATTTTACTCTTTCTGCTGCTACATTTTCTGACAAGTGGAAAATGTTTAATCCATCCTTTCCTCCATGTCTCTGGACCACTTGTCCAAAACATCATTTGGGTTCTTCTCTTAAGGTGACTCCTTTGACATGAAATTCTCAAATCCAGTGCCTTGTTCTATGCTTAGCATCTGTCATGAAATTTCTTTTATTTGTATATCTCTCCCTCTCTGGCAGGTGGAAGGATACTTATCACTTGAGAATGTGTGCCTTGTCAAATCAAGTGAGGTCTGTCAGCAATTTAGTGTAAAACTAATTTTCATGGACGTGCATATTTGACATCACAATGAATTTGATGGCTGATTTTACTGAAGCTTCAAAGTTTAGTTTTTGTAAAGTTGTAGTGAATTATGTCAAACTCATTGTCAGTTCAAACATACACCAAATTGAAGTTTATGTTAGTTTTTGAATTGTAATTATCATTGTCATTACAGGTAGAAGAGAGCAATAGAAGTCTTACATGGAAAGAAGAAAGCAACCTCTCAGAGGCAGAAGAGCCTTTTGATGATGCAACTTTAGTTTGTATGGCCTAATTGGTATTCTTAAACTAGTATATACTTTTATCGCATACCATGAATTTGGATTCTTTGCAATTTTATTACTCTTCCTTCCCAATTACTTATATAATGTATTTGTTCCTTTCTTCTAGGTCCAGAGTATGAAGTAAACCACTATGATTTTCACATTATATACAGTCCTTCATATAAAGTTCCGGTGCTGTACTTCCGTTCGTATCATAGCGGTATGTTCACTTTTCTATCTTGTGGTGTGGAATCTGTGTCAGTGTTGTCCATGGCTGAGAGCCAAAATCTCGCCATACCAAACGATTTGCGGTGCCGTTACAGAACGTTTCTTGCTTGAATATCACATTAATGATGTTCACTTTGTTTGATTGATACTGATACTATTTGATTATGTAGATGGACAACCTTTGCCCTTCAGTGAATTTGAAAAGGACCTTCCTGGTCATTCTGCAGAGTTGCGTCTAGAATCGAAATGGACATTTATAACCCAAGAGGTAAATAACTTGTTTCAATTCTTTTCCTTTTCTCTCAAGTAAGAACATTATATATTAAAAAAACTACAATTAATTTGCATACCCTATCATCAGTTTGTTTATAACCATATTAATGGTTTCAATTCTATATCTTGCAGGAACACCCATATTTGAATAGACCATGGTACAAGCTACATCCTTGTGGGACTAGTGAATGGATGAAATTACTCCTATGTCGTGATACATCTTTGAATAAAAACTTCATTGAACAATATTTAGTTTCTTGGTTCTCCGTTGTCGGGCAAGTTGTTGGTCTTAAAACTCCTCTGGGAATGCTGGATAATATAGTTTCAAATAATTCTTAAGATAAAATGAAGTTATGGAATTGAGATGAATTTGCAATTGTCAATGGTGTAAAAAAATTGGTGGAAATGTTGAGACATGTTTATAGAAATTAGGTTTGTCATACTTGTGTATACTACTACTTTTTGACACCTTAAATACCATAAGTTTAACTACTTAAATTAAATTCAAACGTGTAATTTTGCTAATAATAATTTATTGACTTGTTGGGTTTATAATTTTATATAAGGTGAACAAAGGCAAGAAGTGTCAAAACAAGAAATAACTTACCAAATACAATAACCAACAAACAAGATCAGCAGAGATAAATTACACCAACTACACAACAACACTTTGCTCCAACTGCACCAAGTTAGATGTCAAGCCAATAATTTTGATCAATTATTAGATTAGACACATGATACGATTTTGAAGTCAATCATTGAAGGATAGAGTTTCATCCAAATCATTGAGGAAGAAATATGGTGACAAGTAATTGAATAGAATGAAATTCATACTACTCCATTCAATTTTAAATAATTCAAACAATAAAATATCATTCCATTCAATTTTAAATGATTCAAACAATAAAATATCATTCAATTTTATCCAATATCGCTCAATTCCATTTAATTTCATCAATCCAAACAAAATCTATTGTGATTAATAGAAACATATTTCCTTTAAGTAGTTGCAAACAGTTAGATTAAGAGAGTAAGCTGCACCATAACCTAATAATGCCTTTCAAATCCATCTTATAAAGCATAGCTCATACATTGTGCAGTATGGCCCAAGTTTTCTACAGTTTTTTTCTTTGATCATAAAAGGGAAAATATATCAGTTTTTTAATCCAATATACTACTAACAAGAATCAGATCAAGGAAATATCCAGCTTTTGAATCAAGATTCAACATTCTCACATGATAAAAACGATATCAAAAAGGAAGAAACAACATCATAAAGTTCTTTGAAATCTAAGTACTCCTTGTCATGTTTTTATGTGACCATAGCCATAGATGAATAAAGAATTTTAACAAGATATAGCTTATATTACTCATCACATTCTTTCACTAACAATGGGTCATTTGTATTAATGTTTCATACAAAATTCCATTACAATCATTCAATGGCAGCAATAACTCATTAGTATACATGAATACAATTCTCCCATCTGCTACTTCTCTGAAGATTGAAGAAATTCATCATCAAGCTTAGGTTCTTCTCTAATTTCTTCATGATTTTTAGAACCTTTGTTATGGATTCTGCTGAAGTGAACAAGGAATTCTGTATTACCCTGCGCACCTTTGAGAGGAGACTCGATCCAACCTTTGCTGCAGAAACCAAAACTCTCGACTCCCTTGGTAATCTTCTCAAGAACCTAATTGTAGAAAAAATCAATCACATTTTTAGCTCAGTAATGTTCTCTATATAATCCCATTGTACGACAATTAGAGTCTCACTTAATAAAACGCCATAAGCAGAAATAGTGAAAAACCACCCACCTCTTGATGGACAACAGGATCTTTCACTATCCCTCCCTTTCCTACCTGCACAGATAATGAAATTCCAAATTTAGAAGTGATATTTTGTTTGCTCTATTTCAAGAAAACGGAGGCGAAATGATGATTACTTTGTGTAATTAAATAACCTTGCTTGCATAGAAATAGAATACTATTTTTATAGAGACTCCATGACAGTAATGTTTAACTGTATACTATTGCTGAAAATATCTAAACAAGTTATAAAAGCCATAATAGGAGTTGATATTCCTTACTTGAGATCTCCGAGCTTCAAATTGCGGTTTAACCAAGGTCACTAATGCAGCATCTTCCTTCATAACATTTACCACAGCAGGCATGACCTGTTAAAAGAATGTAAAATTATTTAGTGGATCATAATCATACATAAATTCCGTATAGGCAACTCATATTAGTCATCGCAATTGTCTCCTCTCCTTATCCTTCTTTCGATGCTTAAGAAGGGTGGTTGACCACATAATATCAAATAAAATAAGGAAACAAGATCAGATTAAAAAAATTCTATAAAAAATGTTAAACTGAAAAGAAATTAATATCCATTTGGAGAGGGTTGGAATATTCTGTTAGTATTCATAGGTTGCTGAATTTATCATAGTTACAAACGTTATTTTTGTTAAGCATTAACTATATAATAATAATAATAATAATAATAATAATATGGTATCTTAAAAATTAAAATGTTGCCAAATGTGCCCCGTCCAACTATCAAAACCAATACAACTCAACTAGCTGACCATAAGCCACCCGGTTCTGCCAACAGTTTTGATTGAGTCTACATGAACAGGATGAATAAGATTATGTATAGATTAGCAGAAAAGCTACACATTCTAACAGGAGAATAGGCCTATGTTAAAACTGATTTGAGAGCATACCGTAAGAATAGAGATGAATGAGAGGTCTAGGGTCACCAAGTCAACATTTTGTGGGAGTTCTTTGAGATATCTTAAATTTGTCCGCTCTATAATAGATACACGTTCATCTCTTCGAATTTTTTCTGCTACCTAGGCCAGTTAATAAAAGACAGTCACTAAACAACCACAAATGTGCAATAAAGAAAAGCAATTAGGTAATGTAAAATAAGTTACCTGTCCATAACCTACATCAACCCCATAAACATGTGATGCGCCATACTGAAGTAAGCAGTCAGTAAACCCTCCGGTCGACAGCCCAGAATCAAGTGCCACTTTACCGGCAACATCGACACCGAGCTGTTCAATGGCACCTTCCAGCTTATGTCCAGCTCTGTGTAGATACAAAAAAACAATCATGTTTCGTTAAAGTTGCTGTTGAGATATTATTTCAAGTGAACAGAGATTGGTGACTTCACCTACATACATATTTGGGAACTTCAGCTATTATCTCGACTACAGATTTCTCAGAAACAGGGGTACCGGCTTTATTAATCACCTTCCCATTCACATATACTTTTCCTGCGGTACAATAGTTGCCGATTATGAAACAGTCAATTTTTCCCAGCATATCAAGTATAATCCAAACAAGCTCAGGACAGTATCTACCTATTAAACTAAATTGGAAATAAAAAAGTGAAATAGTTACCTTGCAAAATCCATGACTGGATGACGGATCGACTATATTGCTGATACCTTTCAAGGCATACTTCATCCAGCCTCTTTTTCCTAAACAAAGAAACTAATTAGTGAAAGTAGCAAATGAATGATGGACTAATCTCCCTTATTCCTTTGAAAGATTAACACAAACTACTTTACCCTATATGTAACACAACATTTTGAGTGTACATTATAAAACAAGTTAAAGCTTAAGGATATGTTTAGATTGGTGGGATGAGATGAAATGAAATGAACTGGTATATAATTAGATTCTATTGTTTGAATTTGCAAACAATAGAACATGATAAAACCCATTCTATCATATTTCATCCAATCCGTCAATTTTCATTCCCCCTATTTGGGGTATATGTAGGGTTGTTCAGAAAAACTATGAACTGAACTGAACCTTCGAATCGAACTGAAGTTAAAATAACTGAACCGTTATGTTTGGTTAGTAAACTGAACCGGTATTTTACTATTGGTTCTAGAACCGAACCAAATTGAAATTAACCAAACATAAACCAAAACTGAACCATTATTTTTAAAACATGAAAACTGAAGTGTATTGGCAGTATAACGCAACACTGAACTTTGAACTTCTAACGTGAAAAGTGAAAACCAAATCATTGAAACTCCAAATTGTTATGTTTGGTCTCTCTGTTACTCATCCTATATATATGCCTACATTCTCTGAATATATATGTATATAATTGAACATTAATGTTGTTAATGCATCATGTGGAAATATCTTATGCTTGTTTAATCCTAAAAAAAATATTTTTATGTAATTACTTTTAACTTATTTGGGATACTGCTGTAGATAATTACTTTGTTCTATGAGTTTTTGGTTTGATTTACTTTTAGGTAGACTTGTTTATAGAAAATTTGTATTTATGTTACTATGAGGATTCAAATGGCCACTAATAGTATTTATTCAAGTCAATTATCTGAATTACTCCGAATAATCCACTTATTCTGCATATCACTATGTTTGGAGTTCATTTAAAAACAATATAACGGTTTAGCTCTTTAAGGTTTGGAAAAAACGGTCTTTAAATGGTTTGGTATGGTTCGAAATTCCGAACCATTATATCAAACTAAAAATTTTGGTTCAGTTCGGTTCTGTAAAAATTAAAACGGTTCGGTTCTGTAAAAATTAAAAATTAAAAATTTTGCTTGCAAATTTAGGTCGTCTTTGCGACTCAAATTCAGTGATTTATAATTCGGCTCCTGAGTGTATCTATAGTATCTTAGCAGAGGATGCTATTGGTGTGTCCTTTGAGAGGATAGTCGCGCTTTAGTTTCATTTTCGGGCCTTTGGCCCTCCTTGTGACCAAAAAAAAATGAAAACGGTTGGGTTCGGTTCGAATAATCTTTTATAATAGTTCAGTTTGGTTTGGTTCAATTTTCTAATAGAACTATACCATAAACAACCCTAGATATATGCAATGAAATGAACTAATTTGTTCTCTTCCGTTCTATCAAATTATAAAAAAGTACACAAACAATGAAATGAAATCTTTGTTCCATTCCGCCTCACTCCACTCCATTCCATCATGTTTCATTCCGCTCCATTTCACCTCACTTCACTTTATTCCATCGTGTTTCATTCTGCTCATATCTAGTCTATCAATTTAAACACAGCCTAATAGCCAATACAAATTAAAAGGAATTTGCTCTGATGAACATTACAAGATATAAATTTGACATAATAATGAAGATACATATACTTAATGGTTAGAGTTAGAGCAATGAAAGAAAGCTTACTTTTTGATTGGTATAATCCTTTCTGATTTTGCAGTAGCATAGCTTCTAAAGGATAACTTAACTACTGTTTCGCCACCGACCCATTTCACTAAATCAATTTCCATCAAAACACAACAACACATAAAAAAACAAGTATTCATACAATAAATA